CTAGTCTTACACTGCTAAATTAGTGACGGCTAGCGCAGATAGCTCTCGTGTAGCTTTGCGCGAAATTCAAAAGCAAACAAAAACATAAGGAAACAATTATATTTAACAGAACAATCGTATAAGTCCAAACTCTTAGCGCTAACAAAAGCAGAGAAACGTCAGTAACTAATTGAGAATCCTAAAAATTAAGCTTACTTTAACAAAACTAAGATGAACAAAATATTACTAGTTACAAAAATGAAATAACTTTTAATATACAGGGGGGGGGGGGGACTTCACATCTCTAACTTTCTAAAAACCACTTTAGTGTTGCTTCCTTGTGTAATCTATTGGTGTTTCCTTATAATTAGTAGCGAGCTTGTGCATAAGTATGTATATACGCTCATTTGCAAAAACAAAGCTATAGAAAGGAAATTGTTTTAACGCTTTGGACGAAAGCATAACATATTTAGTATATATTCTTTCAGGCTGTATTAAATATATTACCGAAGTTCTTTAAATGTTTAATGAAATTTTCTAAGATTAATTAAATGTTCTTGTCAAACGACACATTTAGGGTGTTGAAGCTCCGAAGTTCTACTACAACAAGTGCTAGAGCTATCAACAGATATGTTAATAAGACTAGCTGAACTAGTTTTGGCATTAATCGCATTCTCTTCCAGTGATTCATTCTACAAATAAATAAAAGGTGGGTGCCAAGAATGGATCGTCATTGGTCAACCTGTTTGTCGGCTACACAGAGCACAATCTATTTCATACTTATGATGGGCCTGTGTTTATTTTATATCGTCGATACATTGATAGCATAATTGGGATTTTAACTTCAAACATATACGAACTCCACAATTTTGTTAAGTACTACCATCCGGTCCTTCTGTACACAAGCAACGTTTCAAACCATTTGGTAAACTTTCTCAACATCACTCTAATTTTAACTACAGAGAATATCATTTCAACCTCCATCTATTATAAACCGAACGGCTCCCATTCTTTCGTAGACTACCACTCCACTAAAATTGTTATTCCAAAATCACAGTTTCACGTCCTCCGTCGTTTATGCAATTCCGAATCTTATTTTAATCAGAAGGCCAATGAACTGCCAGACTTTTCCAAGATTAAGAGTTATCCTCTAGATATATTTGACTTAGTTCCCAAAGATCAACCATAATACTGCTCTACAACTGAAGACAAAAAGAATAATCCTGAAAGTCAAGTTCTCTTGGTATTGACATATCCGCAAAACATCCAGATTTCTGATATAATTAAAACAACTTTGGGATACTTCAAAGTGACAAATGGAAGATACATTTAATGATAAACCTATATCTTCGTATCGACACACACAAACCTAAAAGATGTATTGGTTCATGCGCAACTGAGATACCAGAAGTCATTACTCATCTCCAATATGGTAGGCCCGGCATGGCCAGGTGGTTAGGGCGCTCGACTCGCAATCTGAAGGTCGCGGATTCGAATCCCCGTCCCACCAAACATGCTCGACCTTTCAGCCGTGGGTGAGTTATAATGTGACGGTCAATCCCACTATTCGTTGGTAAAAGAGTAGTCCAAGAGTTTGCGGTAAGTGGTGATGACTAGCTGCCTTCCCTCTAGTCTTACACTGCTAAATTAGGGACAGCTAGCGCAGTCAGCCCTCGTATAGCTTTGCGCGAAATTCAAAACAAACAAAACCAATATGGTACACATTGCTGTGCACGTTCACGACGCAACACGTGGCGTTAGGTCAACACCAGCACTTCGGTATTTGGACCCAACTCCACTCCTTACACGATCAAACCGTTGTTCAGTTTGTTGTTTTTCAACCATAACAAAGATGGTATAGAAGTGAGATTGTTGTTCCTCAGGTTTCAACATCCTACTCCTGGGTAAGCTTTATAAATATCGATATCTTTACAAAATAATCAGTTACTGTTACAGCTATATGTATGTAATTGCATAAATATGTGCCTGATACATAGTACATATATGTATACAAATTAAAATGTCGTTAATTTTTAGTTCTTGAAATAACTTAAAAATGATTTGTAAATCCATAATGTCTTTCCATTGAATGTAGTACACGTGGAAGACTTATAGGAAAATCAGTATTCTGAAACACTAGATCTGGTGTACAATTAAAATGTGGACTTGAGAATTTGAAAGTCCGAGTAAGTGTAAATCTTGAATACTATTGGATGAGATGCCACCTCTATATTCCGATAATACAGCGTATAGTTAATTGTTTTTATGTGGTCAAAGCCTCTGACACCAATTGCTAATAGTCTTTTGACAGATAATAATTAACTTTAAGGCTGTATCTAGTGTCTAAATATTCAACTGCAGTCTCCCATGATACAACATCATCAATTATATAAACTGTTTTATTATCTACAACAACTAAGCTAGGTTTGTATAACTCCTCTAAGTTAAAACCGCAGATCCGAGGTTCTTGAATGGTTTCCTTGTACAGTGCCTTACAAAAGTATTCACCCCTGCAAAGTTTCCACATTTTGTTGTCATCTGAGCTTGCAATCATGAAACTTTCAAATGGTACTTTATATTTATAATCTACTCCAAACTAAAAAAGCTGAAAAACGCTGATATTATGTAAGTAAGTTAGATTTTCAGAGACATTTAGATTATTCACAATTGCATAAGTATTCAACCCCTTTGCTACGGCAACCCTAAGTCAGTTCAGGTGCAAAAATTAGTTTGAAAGGTCACAAAATTAGTATAATGGTCCCTGTCTGTGTGTAATCAAAGAGGTTTAACATGACTTCAGAGTAAATGCATCTGTTCAAACCACAACTCACACAGTGATACGAAAAACTAACCATGAAGACCAAGGAAATTTCCAAACAAGTCAGGGATAAAGTAGTAGAGAAGCACAGATCAGGAGAAAGTTACAAGAAAATTTCAAAGACGCTGATTATCCCTTTGAGTACAGTGAAGTCAGTCATGAAGAAGTGGAATGTGCTACATACCACCCAGATCAGGCCGCCCTTCCAAACTAAGCAGGAAACTGGTTAGGGATGCCACTGTGAAGCCAACAGTGGCTTTCAAAGATTTGCAAAGTTCCATGTCTGTCGTTGGAGTCCGTGTTTATACATCAACAATATCGCGGTCTCTACACAAAGTTGACCTGGATGGGCGATAGCAAGAAAAAAAGCCTTTACTGAAAAAGAATCATCTTAAATCTCATACGGAGTTTGCGAAAAAGCATGTAAATGATACTGCAGACATGCGGCAGAAGGTTTTGTGGTCAGACGAGACAAAAATTGAGCTTTTTGGTCTAAGTTCAAAGCATTACGTCTGGCACAAGCCCAACACAGCACATCATTCAATCAACACCATCCTAATTGTCAATCATGGTGGTGACAGCATCAAGTCATGGGGATGCTTCTCATCAGCATGGATTTGAAATTCTGTCAGAATTGAGGGGAAGATGAATAGTGTAAATTATAGGCGAATCCTAGAAGAAAACCTGCATGAGTCAGCCAAAAATATAAAACTGGACGAAAATTCACATTTCAGCAAAACAATGACCAAAGCCACACTGGAGTGGTTTCAAACGAAGAAAGTGACTGTCTTGGAGTGGCCCAGTCAAAGTCCTGACTCGAATCCAATCGAAAGTTTATGGCGAGACTTGAAGCTTGCAGTCCATCATTG